TGTTCAGTACAGTAAACAGTCATATGTGGTTATATCACGTGACCAGTGATATGTCATACTACTAATTAATAACAGTTAAAGAGTGTTTGATAATATGATTCAGGTCTTGTTTCGTAAGTGATTTTTTTAATCAAAAAGTTAAAGATTTTTTTTTTTTACTTTTTGTATATCTTTTTATAAAAAGTCAAAAAGTCATTTCAAATTTTTTTTAACTCATATTTTAACTGAATAATCAAAAAGTTACTAAATTAGCATGTTCACAAACGAGGCCTCAACACATAAAATTAAATATATTTAGTGATAATTAGTTAAATTTATTTGACAATTAAATTGATATCATTTAAAAATTTAAGTGCCTTCTAAAATACAAGATGAAATTTATAAAAAATTTAAAACATATAAAACTTACTTAATTTTGACTAAATTTATAAACACTAAATATAAGTATCGATATAATGTTATAAACTCTCCAACCGCTACCACCATCACAACCACCACCACTATCACTAATACCATCACTTTCATTATCATTATCATTGTTTCCATAAACACCATCATCATTTACTGTCAATGTCATTGCCACTGCTACCACTACCACCACCACCACCACGTCACTGTCACCATTAACCCTGCCACCGCTACAACTATCACTATCATGGCACTGTCACCATTGCCACTACCACTACCACCACCACCACCAACCACCACTACCATCATGCCGTCGCTGCTGCTGCTGCCACCATTTTCATCATCATTACTATTGTTGCCATAAACACCATCATCATGTTACTACTACTACCATCGTGACCGCTCCACCACCACCATACCACTGCCACTACTACCACCACCATCACAATATAAAAATTGAAATATACAATTTAAAAATAGTAACTTTTAAATTTAATCTTATTTGTATCAAACGAATTATTTTTAATTCAACACTTAAATTTTTTTATCAAACAACATTTCAACTTAACAATTTTAATATTCAGTTTTCAATACTTAATTTTCAGTTTTATCAAACACCACCCGAATAATACTATGAACCATACTTAACTAATTAGAAATTATTTAAAATTATCATTTTATAATTTAGATTTATTGTATATATGGATCTCACACTACAAATTTAGTCTCCACCATACAACCATTCATCCAAAAAAATCTAGATGCATAATTATGGGTTACGCGACTTACTAATTAAGACACTATTTGGCATCCCTTATTTTAGTACACTTTTTTTATCTTTTTTTTTTTAATCAAATTATCTTTTCACCCTTTTACACGTCTTTTCATAAAAAATCAAATGATGTACTTATTTAGATTATTTCAAACCCTCTCCAATAATACCTTGCTATATATATTGAAGTAAAAATCATAAACAACTATTACATAATAATATCATGTAGTTGATACCACCATTATATTAGATTTTTTTTGGACACGAACCACATCTTTTGTTGTTTAATAATAATATAATTTTGACAAATTATCAACAAACAAAAAATGCTAAATAGAAAAAACAATTACAAATATACAGAGAATAAAAAAACAATTATAGTACTAGTGAATTTTTAAAATAATTACAATGACGATTTTTACTCTTTCACCTTTCCACCTTGTCACGACCCAAACCCGGCCCTATGGGTTTAGCACCGTAACCGAAATAATTCAAGAGAGAGAAAGAAACACATTAGAGAGAGAGAGAGAGCCATTCTGAGATATTGATTCCACTTGGGGAAAACAAGCTTTTCAAGAATAGCCTAGTTCAACTTCCATTATTGGCTTACCCAAAAAAACTTCCATTATTGGAAGGGTTTGTTTTGCACCCACTCAAAGAAGGGGATTAGATTAGATTAGATTAGATTGGATTGGATGGATGGAGCGGACACATTTTGAGTTTTGGGACTCAGTTGGAAATTCTTTACTTTGTGGGGTTTGTGACGTGTCCCTCCTTTCTTTCGACTGCCTTCCCGTCCGGTCCCCCACATTCCTCATACGTTGTCCGTTTCTAAGTGGGACACGCACGTACAACTGTATATCACGTGACCAGTGATATGTCATACTACTAATTAATAACAGTAAAAGAGTGTTTGATAATATGATTCAGGTTTTGTTTCGTAAGTGATTTTTTTAATTAAAAAGTTAAAGATTTTTTTTTTTTTTTTTTTGTATATTTTTTTATAAAAAGTCAAAAAATATACTTATTTAGATCATCCAAAACACTCTCATAGTATCATTGTCGTATCATTTTGTTTTCACGCTCTGCTTGTTTAGGTAGAAAATATTTAAAAAAAATATTTTATATATTTTTTGGTATTTGGTACAATAAAAAACGAAAGTTAACAAAAAATATTTTTTATAATTAATAGAAAATAAGCTTATATAAGCTGAAAATATTTTTCATTTTTTAAAAGATAAAAAACGTTTTTTAAATTAAAATTTTATCAATATCACCACATTATTACTATCACTCTCACTATAACGAGGGAGCTTCTATATACACACACCCTTTCCTCTCTATACAAATCCTTCTCAATACACACACTAAAAAAATAAATCTTAATATATTTGACTCACTACACACACCTATCATTCCACATATACCCCCAAATGTAAATCATACACACACACCCCCTCTCTCACACACACACACCCGTGAGACCCCTCTCACACACACACCCATCTCTCACACTCTCCACCGTTCCTCCCCAAAAGCTTCATCCATCCATTTGTGTCATTGAAGTTTTGGCATTGAAGGGCATTGAAGAGCATTGAAATTTTCACATTTTAGGTTAGTTTACACAGATTAGAATCTTCTCATTCCTATTTTATTTGTAATGTAGGGTTAATTTTTACCATTTTCGAAATTTTCAGTCCACCCCAATGTAAGTGATTGCCGTGTTTCATTCGGAATTGGTTATTCGAAAT